GCCGGAACGTAACTGTGAATGGCGAGCGCTACCGTGCGATGATAACAAACTTTTTTTTGCCCAAAATGGAAGAGCTGGACTTGGCTGACATGTGGTTTCAACAAGACAGTGCCACATGCCACACCCGCACACGAAACAATGGCCCTATTGAGAGGCGAGTTCGGTGAACAGTTTATCTCACGTTTGGGGCTCGTCAATTGGCCGCCTAGATCGTGTGATTTAACGCCGTTGGACTATTTCTTGTGGGGCCATCTTAAGGCTAATGTCTACAGGGATAAACCAGCAACAATTGACGCACTGGAAGCCAATATTGAAGCATTTATTCGTGAGATACCGGCCGATATGTTTAGAGAGTGTGTCAAAATTGGACCTTGCGCATGGGCCATCTAAAGCGGAGCCGCGGCCAACATTTACATGAAATAATCTTTAAACATTAAATTATATCGACCGTTCTATCGACTCAAATAAAGATTTAATCGTTTTTCCAAATTTTTTGTGTTTTTTTTAAAATCAAATCTTATACGTCTTAAAAAATCACCCATAATGAAAGGCAACAAAAAACGTTGTTCAAAGTATAGAGGTTTAAGTGTAATAGCTTCCATATGCAGATTGTAAAGAATTGCAACAGAAATAAAAGAAACGAAAAAATAATACCTTTACAGTATATTCAGATAAGAGATAGACCGGATGTAAACAAAAGGTTCGGGTGATTTTCACGCTAACGCCGCCGTCTCGACGTAAAACAGGAGCCCTCATTGGTCAATTCGCAATTAAATGCCTATGCCGAGCGGCAGAGCAGTCGTATCAAGGCAGAGTCACATTCAGGTTCAGACGTGTTACGTATGTCGTGTGCATCATTGCAATTTGATATTTCTTTGGACGTTTTCGTTTCTTATCTTATTAAGTTGTTGAGTTTGTCGTTGTTAGTGTTATACCTTGTTATTGATTGTTATTGTTATCAACTGCTTGCGCAAAATGCCCAGTAGTACAGATACTGCCGATGAAGTTGTAAACTCCTGTAGTCCACCTAGGAAACGCTCTAAAAAAAGACACCTGAGTGCAGAAATGAAAGAGGTCATTTTGAATATACAGGGTGACTTTGAAGTTGAGTCATTAATTTTCAGATAATGATTGTAGAAGGAAGATAAACCAAAATATGTGTGTAAAAATAAAAAAAAAATAAAAAAAAATTTTTACCTTGTTTTATAAAGTATCCTCCCGACAAGTATTTCAGTGCGGACCTGTATTTGATCGTGAGGTCCCCTGTGAGGTCTTAAGTCACCTGATTCACAAGCCCGTTGTACTACATTAACCAAGGCACGAGGGGTTGGTTGCACTCGATTGGGAAACCGATCCGCATAAACATGTGCCATTTTTTATTTCGTTTGAGCCACGCAACACATACCACTATTCACTGACACTAACTGTATACAAATGAATGAGATACCTGTAAAAACATCGTTCCAAATTCTTTCGCTTTTTTGTTTCCGATGCGATGAACCGATACGGCGGATTATATCCATTGTCGCCAAACACGACCACATAATATTGTTATTGAGACAGGGCGGTACTCAAACTTCCAAAGGGCTATAACTTTGTTACTTTAATTTTACCAGGAAAATGGTAAAGGAAAAAAACATTTCTTTTGATCAGATCTACTCACTGTTAAAATAAATGACTCAACTTCGAAGTCACCCTGTATATATATATACGTATAAGATCGAGCGCGAGGAGAACGAGGCATCAACCATCAAAGAAATTGTTGTGAAGGTTTCTCACAAAGTTGGGGTGTGTCGCGCATCAATCAGTGTTTAATGTGTTAAGACAATACAAAAAAAAATCACACCTTTTCTGAGCCAATGACCAGTAAACATCGCAAAAGTATTGTTAAATCATTGGATGAAGCTGATAAGCATGCGATTAGGAGGAAAGTGCATGAATTCTTCTTTAGGAATGAAATACCTACTATAGATAAAGTACTGCAGGAGGTAAATGGAGATGATACAACGTTGCCAAATTTCAAACGATCAACTTTCCATGCGTTACTGAAGCATTTAAATTTCAAATGGAAAAAACGGGGTCGTAATAGTTTACTACTGGATAGAGAAGAAATTGTGCTATGGAGGAGGGATTATTTAACAAAAATTGGGAAATATAGAAATCAAAACAGGAAGATTTATTACCTTGATGAAACGTGGGTAAACGCAGGACACACTACAAGTAAAGTATGGGTTGATGATTCTGTAACTTCATCCAGGAGGGCCTTTCTACATGGACTGTCCACCGGATTAAAAAATCCAGCAGGTAAATACGAGTAATAGACAACAATCGGATGTTTTTCAAACCTTGGGAACAAGGTTCTAAACATTAATTCCAGGGGCAGATGAAACATATTACAAGTAACAAAACTTTTATAACTTTCGATAAAATGGGTGGATGTTTTATTGTCATTTTCATTTGTTAGAACTTTTTCAAGCCATGTTTTTATGTGTTTTCGATATTTCAATAATTTTTTAATATAATCTTAAAATATGTCGAATATTATAAACTTAAAAAAAGTTACTAAGTTTTATATTGTGTACCGTTCCTAATATTTCTAATCATTTTAATTCATACTTTAAGCTTTATAAAGTTATAATTTGTAAATATTAATATTTGCGCGTATTTCAGGTTCCTGATCATTCATTATTTAAAGGTTTATAACTTTAAATTAAATTGTGAAGCGCTGAGTAATCATACGACGTTCAATATTCTTTCTTTCAATATGACTAAATAATCCCAATTATAGCAATCTGATACTCATGTCTCAATGTTTTTTCGCTGAATGTGATGAAAACATTTGAAAAAGGTTCGCTTATTGAAATAAATCTACACCAGTTAGTACTTCGATTTCCAGGTAAAGGGAAAAGGCTCATTATCTGCCATATTGGCAGTGAGGATGGATTTGTTGTTGACGGTCTGTGGTGCTTTGAGTCTAAGAAAACTGGAGATTACCACGAGGAAATGAATGGCGAATCGTTTGAACAGTGGTTTTCAAAAATTTTACCGAACTTAGAGGAAAACGCAGTAATTGTGTTGGATAATGCGCCTTATCGTTCTCGAAGAATGGAGAAGGTCCCAACAACGGCTTCAAGGAAAGTTGATGCTCAAAATTGGCTCCGCTCGAAAAATATCAACTTTGAAGAAGAAATGCTGAAAGTACAATTATTAAGAATTGTCAAGGATCACAAGGCGGAATATCAAAAATACGCCATTGACGAAATGGCAGCAAGTCAAAATAAAACTGTGCTCCGTTACCTCCATACCATTGCGAGCTCAATCCCATTGAGCTCATATGGGCAGAGGTTAAAAATTATTTAGCTAAGCACAATACAACTTTTAAATTTTGTGACCTCAAAGGACTTTTCAAAGAAGCACTAGAATTAATAACAGCGGAAAAATGGGAAAACTGTATTAAGCACTTGAAAGACAAAGTTGAAAAGAGAATGTGGGAACTGGACAATATTTTAGAGGAACAAGTCGAGCCATTCATTATTGACGTTGGTGCTTCAGGCAGTAGAGATGATGAAAGCTCATAAAGCTCATCTTTCCAATAAAAGATGTCGTTCATCAAATTCGGTTATAGTTATAAGTTATAAGTAATTATAAAGCTACTGTATTTTTTAATTAATTATTGACATTTTTGAACCCATTTTGGCAAAACCTATTCAAGAATCTACTTTCTGACAATGTTCAACCATGCACATTTTTTTACGTTTTGAACGTTTTAATTTGGTTACATATTTACCTAGAAATCAAAAAATATACTAATCAATATTCTAAAAGCAATTTTAAGAGATATACGATTATTTTTAATTTAGGCTAATTTAAACGCCATTTTGAGATTATATTCGACTGTATTTCACCAAACATCAGGCGGCATCCGAAGCTGGAAATCGAAGCGAAAATGTTGAAACCCTTATGTATATTTACATCATTATATATTTCTTACCCCACCCCCACATGATCCTATATCCATCACCAATCGTATACACATCGAATTGTGCTAATTTACTACAAAGTTACGCAAAGCAGCATCTACTATCTAAAATATGTACTGCGTGACTCTTAATACGTCCCTACCGAATCTTACAGCGTTCGATGATCACGTGGTCTTGTTTATGTCCGGTCTATCTCTTATCTGAATATACTGTAGACTCTTGTGTTAATTAATAGCTTATTCTGCTTAAAACAATTGATGGATGAGACATCTTGTTTTCATAGATTTAAAGAAACCATAAAATATGATAGTATTTTAGTAAATACGTATATAGGTCCGCAATGAAATGCATGTAGGTGGATCCTCATATCAATGCCGTAAAAAAGATCTATGAAGATTACCTAAGTTGTATAAAGACTAGGAGTCCGATATGTTTCTTGTAAAAAAAAAGATCACAGACAAAGCGCGTGCATACGAGCACGAGCCCCGCTCTGGACGAGTTGAAGAGGGCGATTCCCGTGGAAGTCATCCAGGTTGAGAGAATGATGTTGGAGAGAGTCTGCGCGAACTGTCAAGAACGCCTCCAGCAATGCATCTTCAAAAACGGTCTCCACATGACTGATGTCATTTTCCACACTTTATCGTGACAAACGCTATTTCATTTCGAAACCAAATCCGTCAATAAATTTGTTTTTCAGTAAAACTTACTGATTTTGTGATTTTTTAAAAACCGTCCGACGTTTGTGCCGGATCCTGTATATCTTAATACCAAAGGATGGACAAAGAAATGTAGGAATGCGGGTGTCCGCATAGGGAGAGAACTATTAACACTTTATTATTCGCTGGCGGCTGAATGGTTCTTGCAGAAGGCATTGGTTACGCTTGAGAAAGCTTGTGAAGGTATATAGTGGCTGAGGTTTGGCGATAAATCTAGGGAAGGCTCACTATATAGCGGTTGGACGTGAAGGGATGGATTTGGTAATAGATGGCAAAATAATAAATAAGTATAAATATTTGGGAGACACAAATACTAACGACGAAAAAGAAGCAGGTTTTAAGGAACAAAATCAGCAACCGCACGAAAGGCCATATGATTAAGTCATCAGTACATAGCTGTTTTCTTTATGACTGCGAAGTTTGGACCCTCAATGCCAGACTGCGAAATCGAACTGTAGAGAATAGGTACTACAGAAGATGTTGTGATGTCACCAACCGATATACTTCGCCCACTAATGAAAGTAGAAAATACAGTAACAGACGAAAAGAAATCTTGATACGGCCAAACGAAACTGATGACACAGGAAAGATTACCAGTGAAAGTTTCTGAATGGAGTCCACAAAGAAGAAGAAAAGAAGATACATCTATAAGCAAATGGAAGGACAAAATAAGGATAGCAATAGAAAATGCCATCTCGCAGAAGATTCCTGGAGAGATAAAAGGAACTGGGGCTTAGGATGCGGCAAACGGTCTCAAGTAAAAGTCGCTATACATAGTTTTTAACTTTCTGCGACACGTGCGTTGCAGCAGCCTCCACTTTAGATATTCACTTAAGTGCTGAAGCACTGACCCTCTATGTAATAATATATAGCTTCGCTGATTATCGCGGCGCTGCTCCATTTAGAAGATAAACGCTTTGATGTTTTTGGCTCGTACTCAGGTCAACGGAGCTCGTGTGGGCGGTTGCCAGTTGACAAAAAGCGGAAATCGTGTTTGTCAGACGCGACTGCTAACGAATCGCCTCTGGTGATGTGAAATGTTTTTCTTGAACAGTGCATGTAACTAGGGGATAAAGTAGGTATTTATTATTTGCCAGTACGGTAAATCCCATCCAACGCTAAAGAGCGTATCTCTTTTTAGTCAAGCAACGACGATAATAAAGCTTGAATTCTAATTGAATCCGTTAATAATCTAAGATAATATTTTGACAGTTTTTGGGATTTGTCACTTTAGTAGGAATTTGTGAATGTCGAGTTCCTGGAAAAATATCTCTCAAACTACCGAAAAAATATACGACTTGTGTAAGAACGGCCGCCAATCCCATATTAAAACAAGAAATTCTTTATAAATCACCTGGTATAGCTACAAAAATATATTTCTCCAGCTGAAATTAAATCCTATGATTCGGATCAACAATGACTAATCAAAAAGTGTTTTCGTAAAATTGCCTCGAAAATTAACCAATCGGAGGGGAGCATTTAATCTCTGCCCGAATCGTGAATCAAATCTGATATAACGCCTGGATTGATATGACATCAATAATTATTACTGAAGAAAACCATATCATTTACCTGAGAGAGATAATTTTAGGAAAAAGGATATATTTTCAAAATTGTTTGGCATGATATTTATGCAAAGTATTGGCAGTCATATATTTATTAAAAACAAAAATAAATTAATGTTATTAGCTTCATCCACTACAAATATGTAGCAACTTTTAACTGTAGAGAAAACTAATACTAGATATAGATGGGGCTGGGGGGATGCGGGTCAATAATTAATGCACAGTATTTACACTGGAACTTGGTGTCTTAATTTCTTATAAGCATGAGAGAAATCTGTGGTTGTTGTGCATAGATCTAGTTCGATAGTTCGATCTCACAACGTACGAAAAATGACATCTCGCTCCTGGATGCGGCTTGGAGGAAAATACTTGGTACCTTATTTAGAAGATTTTGTTATTACAAGTGGCGCTACGGTCAGTGCGAGCTTATTTGCATATGATACTGACTTGTTTTTGAGTTAGTGCTGAATTTTATATAAATCAGATCCAAAAAACAAAACAATTACAGGGACACTTCATAAACACTGTAATTAAAAAGTAAGGTTATGAGTGTAGTCGCGTCATGGGCTGTCACAGTGGGATAGTGATGGGTACTGATCAGCAGTGTACAGCTGCACTGTGGTCGATAATTATATACAGGGTGTTCCTTAATGATATGCGAATATTTAAGGGTGTGAATCTACATGAAAAATTGATCTTAGTTTGTTTTATAAACTATGGTCCAAAAATGTTTCGTTACAAAAACTCGGGGTGTTGAAGTTTTAGGAAAAAAATGGAAATTAATTAATATTTTCAAAACCGCTTCAGAATATTTCACTGATATCTAGTACGTAGTGAGAGTTAACAAAATTGCATATTTTTTAATGCAAAAATAATTCTTAGCTTTAACAGTGGCGTGTGTACGGGTATTGACTTCGATATTTTTTTAAGAAAGAAATGGTACGCCAATGGGTTTTTGCGAAATAAAAATTATTTTTGAATTCCCCGTTCAATTTAAAACAAATAATTTCTCGTGGATTGTTTTCTTTCGATGCGCCATTTTTGAGTAAAAAATAAAGACCGTTCTATTGTCTAACTTGCAAAATTATTATTAATTTAATTGGAAAAATTAAACACATTAAGAGTAATGAACAAAAACAACTGACAGCATAAACATAACACTAAAACCAACGAAATGATTACAAAAATTTTTTGAAAATGTAACTTAGTATGTATGCTTCCGCCCTCCTGCTCATGGAATTGCGCACTCGTTGAAATATCCCTGGAGTGTTTTTTATTCTATCACAAGCTGCAACTATTCTTTCTCTTAATTCCTCTACAGTGTTGATGGAATTTGTGTACACTAGTGTCGTAAGATAGTCCCACAAAAAGAAATCTAAACTGTTGAGATCTGGGGACCTTGCGCTGGTGCACCATCATGCATGTACCACATACTGTTTCTTATTACTAACGGACGAAAATTGAGGTAAGTCTGTCCGTCAAGTCGTCCCAGCAAGAAGAATTCGGGTTGAACGGTTTGGACGGCATTCCACAGATATTCTTACACGATCGGTGTTTTCACATTTATTTGTTCAAATTTATGAACCCATTATTTTATAGCATGATCCGAGGGAACTCTGCCATATCGACCAACTTGGAAAGTCGGAAATGTCGCTGAGCGGCAACCACACAGTTGCTCACCAGACCACTGCTCCATGATTACTAAATGGCATACAGTGACAGATAATTCCAAAAAACAATCCATAGCAAACTATGCATAGTCACGAAATAACAACATTATCAAAACTTTCCGCTGTCGGGGACTACCTTGCATTAACACATATCAATCGACTATTCACTTTAAATAGCTTTTTGTGCTCCATAGAGACCCTAACAATGTTCAACAATTGTCTGGAACGCCAGTACCTTCTGGAACCACCCACGCTTATGTTTCGCAGAAAAATACAAATTTCATGTAGAATGCCAACAAAAGAAATAACTTCTTATCCCAGTATTTGTTATGTGCTCTCAATTTCTTTAGATTCTTGCGATAACCCAACAGCTGCTGAAAAGTGCTTTTAATCAAATTGCAAACGCGTCGGCGTTTATTTTACGCCTTCCTCAGGGCTACAAAAGATGTGACAACATTTTGAATGCAGGAATGAAGTGAAGAAATACGATAAAGAATTCACTGAAAAAATACACAAGGATATAAAAAACTCTAAAACAAACAAAAACGATGACAATAAACCTGCGTACATATTAAAAGTTATATTAAAATTCAGACTCCCACAAGCTAAAAATGTTTTCTTCATAAAGACACTCAAAACACGGCCCAAGTGAAACAATCACCCTTTAGGTCAACTATGAAAATAAAGGACATAAATACAAAAGATCAAGAGCGTCACTTTGTTTTTGCCGTATTCTGTATTTTCATAGTTGACCAAAGGGATACTTGTTTCGTATCAACGATAACGACAAATTTTTCGTGTCTCATTCAATAGGTATCAGAATTGAATACCAATGTCAACAACTTTCAAAGTGGTTGGTCAAGCCTGAACTTTCATCCTGACTACAGAATATCAGATTTTGGTGACAAATAAATATAAAGACTTGCTTTGTATGCCTATATTTGTTGGATATGACTCACTGACAAGCATTTAAAAAGGCTTTGCCTATCAACGCGTTTCATTAGCAACGTTAAAGGCATGTCAGAGTCGCCAGCACGGCAAGATTATTACGTCAAAGCCTATATAATGTCAAAAAACCTTAAAAATGTCAAATTGTTGACTAAGTAGGCTTATGTGTAAATAGATCATACCACGCTTGCTACAAGTGAAAATGAAGTGAACAACAGCTAGTTGCAAGTTGATGTCCTGTGGAAAACCTACATAATCTCAAAGAACCAACAGAATGTCAAATTACGTAATACCCCTTCGGCATGGGTATTATTTAAAATACCTATAAAACGTCAAGAAAACTTATAAGATGTCATCTTGCAGACTAGTTAGCTTTTAGGGTGCAAACTGTCATTCCACGTTTGCTCACTAGGATCGTTGTGAACGCGATCGCAAGCGTCCATCTATGGAGGAATGCTCGTCTATTTCCAAGTATACATTGTTGGTTGCAGACAGTCTCTTTGTAGATAAATTGTAGTGTTTATAATGTGAAAGAACGAAAGTTTGGTTGAGAAGCAAGACTGCATCTGAATGATTGTATTGGTCTGCATGTGTATAAAATCTGTGATATTTGCTAGGTGAGAAAATTATTACTGACTATGCTGCCACTGAAGTATATCTATTAGCTTTGCCAGACGCGTTATTTGAGTTGTACTTTCTGAAGCGACGTTATGTTCAAAGTTATACTTTACGAGTTTTTCCGTTTTCTTTCTTCTGCGTTTTCAAAAACTCTGAGAAAAATTACAAAAAATCGCTACCGCGACTGCCAGTGAATATAGCTCTCATTTTTTAAATTCAGCAGATTTGCATAAGTAATTTCCAGAATGGATAAGGAAAAGTGGATGCGGTACTAGTTTCTAGCCTTGAATCTCAACTAAGTGTATTTGAAAGAAGAATCCAATGGAATTATCATCAACACACATTATTAGCCCACAAATCCTCACTGTGGCTCAGCTTAGACCTCCAGTAATGCCATCACTGAAGCAGATTTTACATCACATCAGAGCCAAGCAATGAAATATCATGATGTTTAGGCAACACGTACAACTACAAACGAGTTCTTGACAAGTGTCGATGAGGTAATTCTAAGTTAACATCTTGTCGAAAAGCCTTAACGTCATGAGGATTCAGTTATCACTGTTTGGCTCTGATGTGATGTAAAATCTGCTTCAGAGATGGCATTACTGGACGTCTAAGCTGTAAGTTGTATGTGTTGATGATAATTCCTTTGGATACTTGTCTCAAATACACTTAGTTGAGATTCAAAGCTAAAAATTAGTTGCGCAGCCATTTTTTCTTATTCATTCTGGAAATTACATATACAATTTGCTGAATTTCAAAAATGAGAGAGATAAGAAATAATTATATTCACTGTACACTGTCGAATT